ATATATATATATATATATATATATATATCCAAGTGAACAGAATTAAGCAGATCGATAAAGCAATGAACAATAGATTCTCTTCAACTAATCTTTTGGACAGTTGATCGACAATGACTCACCGTGGATTGATTTACTGGTTTTGCAATCACTCTGCGAAGAATGTATCGCTCCTTTTCCAAACACGACAAAACTGTGCTTGTGTCGCAACATTATCTAATTGCTTGCATACTTGTTTAGTAAACGGATAATTTGCTAGTTCGAGTGGATCTTTCACACAGTTTTACGGCTCCTGACCGGGCACGGGATTTCCGTTAGCCATGGAACCTGACTCACAAGGCAGCAAACTGGTATATGAAGGTCACATTGTTTTGACACCCAATGTCCACTTCACCAAATCTAGGGTCCTAAGATATGGTTCCTAACNTACAGTGTTTGGTATCTCATCTCGACCACTTCATGTGCTTATGATTGTTGCGTTCCCCCAACTCTTAGCTATTAGTTCATCTCTCAGCAACATTAACAATATTAGTTTGGATATTGGATTTTTCTCCGCTCGCTTTGATGAAAACATCCTCGCCACCGAAAGGCGGTTTGATGCTTTTTGAAGCGTACTCCCTGATAACATTTCATGGAACCACTCTCGTATGCACTGAGAGCTAGCAGATGTCTCGAATCACATCGGATGAAAACCGTTCGTGGTTTTTCTTATTTCTTCTTCGTATTTTTTTTCTCAATCAGGTTCGTGGCGAACGCTTCGTGATTGTATCTGTGCATTTGAAAGCTCAAGGACTACGACATAGTCGAGTGGGAAAAACTGCAGCTGAAGTGCAAGCGATGACGTACCTGGTGAAAGCATTCAGGGATACACAACCCGGTAAATTACGAGTTTGTTTCACGCTCCCAATCTTGGCAATCGCTCTCCGCTTATTGTTAAAAACATAATGCATAATGGCCCGGTTTTTTTTTCAGTCGTTCCCACTCGTTCACGCATTCCGAAGTTGACGTAATCAGTTTGGGTCATGTTTTTTCAGTGTGTCGGAAAGACAGATTAATGGCACATTGAGGCTGCTGATCCGCTCACTATACACACAATAATGATCGTTGCCGTTTATTCAACCCGTCACCTCCTTGCTCCGATTTTGGCTACCCCGTATGGTCGACCAGGAGAGAAAGAAGTGTGATTAACTTAATCACTGTAAGAACTGTAGAAAAATAAAAGCATGCGAACTAGATACGAGTGTAAAGTGAATAAATAAGTATACAAACGTCACGGTGTTTGACATTCAGCCTTTTGTTACCCGGTCAGCTCTGCGGTCCCCAGCTGGACAGTCTAAGATGCCCTGTATTAGTCAGGTACAACACTCGGGTGGGTCACCGAACGAGATAAGTCAGGGAAACAGATAAAGTGCTTTCACATCTCGCTGTGTTTGTGTGTCTGTGTGTGTGCATATGTATGGGTCATATTACTGGATGCTACAGAACGCGTGTGAAGTTATTTATGCATTTGAATCAGTATACAGCAGATGTGACAAATGCAGAATGATTTGAACTCCCACGTGCATCCTCTACAATGTTCCTCGTTGGCATTCATGCACACACGTACTTGAGCTACTTTTTTCTGTTCTCCTGACTCGGGTTATTGGGTGGTCTTTGATAGAGTGCTGCATTTGACCAGTAAATGATGCACCTAAAAATGACATTGTTTGCCAATTTCGGCTTCTTAACGCAGACTACCGGTAGTTTCCAGTCCAGTCTACATTGATGTGTTTCTCAAACTTTTTTTCCATGCTTCACGGCAGATCCGTACAACATCCATAAGAATTTTTCTATCTCAGTTCTGGTTCGTGATAACCAAATACCGTGCGATATTCAACGCGAATTTTTTTTCATGCATCACATTCCTGGTCTATAGCTAACTGACGAATACCCACGTAGAACGATCGTTTGCCTGCATGAGAATGCGATGACTATGTTTCCTGGACCACTTAGCTATGCGACGTGGGTCTCTATCCATACAATGTACAGGAACCTATGCCGGTCGATCAAAATTTTCGTAACCAGAAGAATTTAAAACACATCAGTTCATTTGATTTTCATTGAAAAAATTACCTGGTTTCTTGCGAGCCACGTTATTTTCTTTCACAATGGACACAGTAATGTTTCGCATAGTGATACGGGATTCCTAGAGGTTGTTCACGCACATATTAGTTGGCGCAAGCTGCACGAGTTCTAGAGTTTTAAATCTTAAAACCGGGTGCAGGTTCCTAATTTGAATTCACGTGTTCCCGAAAATTAATCCAATGGCTCAGAATCGTCTACGTCCATCGTTGAATGGTGGGTAGTACGTGACATCACACAATAGCTGGAGCACGAGAGGCAGTAAAGGAGTGGTTATGTTATATGCCTATTGACAGCTTGCCACTATTTGCGTGAGCTATGTTCAGCGATCTCTCTCTGATGAAGACAATCGTATTCCACCTAAAATAGTCACAAAACACCGTTCCCAATGGTGTGACCACGTACGACATATGCGTAACTTTTACTATTTCTGTTTGCTTATCTTGAATGTTGCCATTGATTGGGAATCGAATGACCCTGAAGTTTGCCGGGTACAAGGATCTTGATCTAGGCACGAATCATCCTAACGAAAAACAAATACGAATGACGACCTGGTTTACCGGATGCGTTATGGATTGCGTGGTTGGAATGTAGTCTGAGGTTGAGAGAGTGAGACTGAGATTGTTCAACCGAATTTTCTCTGCGATGTGAATAAACGGGATGGGAACGAAACTGCGAAGATTTTTTATTCAACTAGTGGGAAGTGAAAATCATCGTATTGCTCATTCATACTGCTCTAGTGTTAAGATAGATAGATTTGGCATCCCCTGTCTTCTGGGATGGGTTACGAAAGATTGTGGAACTGATCGGTTCTGGAGAAACAAAAGGATATAACAACCCAAAGGGGCCGTGTTATCATTTTCTTTGAGTTCAGACTGTTTGAAAAGGCGTGCCTCAAGTTTGACTGTATCATAAATTGGGCTTAGTAATTCACGTTTTTCCGCTCTCTCAAAACAGGCCAACTCCCTCACCAGGTTTTATAACGTTACTTACTTTGTGCACTTCATGACCTTAGCAACAATCATTGAGATCCTTTTCATGGTCTTTCACTATGTGATTATCAGGGTGATAATCGATCGGTTTCCTGTACCCGGGTGTGATTGTCTGTTATTACTTGCGTTGTATTTCGTCCATTGTACTCAAAAAAAATTTTGGTGTCGTTCTTTTCAGTCGGAACGCACCTTATTGTCATCGGTGATTTCAACCTGAATCCCGATCATGAAGGTTAGTTTCATTCAGTACTTCAGTCATTTGTAATTAATTTTTCCCTGCTGCTGTACAGTTTCAATTTTTCATCATCTCTAAAAAATACGTTCACTTTGACCACAATCCGTTTCATTACCCACAATCGACCTTCGTACGAAATTAGTGCTTGAATGGACGATACGTTGTTTGCAGATCGATTTTGATGACATATCTAGTGGCTTTTTACTATTCTCGCATGCACATCTCTAAATGGTGCATGTCCCTTTTCTTTGGGAGATTCGTCCGTGTCTGTCCTACAAACTCGCCTGAATTCGATCCGGAACACAAATAGTTGCTGTGCGAACGATAACTTCCCTTTTTATCCACTGTAAATTCCTCTTCATCAATACCCGGTAACAAACGCTCATCCATCGCTTAAGAGTCTTACCGCATTTTGACAGACGATGATCGATCCGTGAATGCGGAACTAAGGGGGAAACCATTTACCATGTAATCGGCACTGTAGATGGATTCAGCTGACTTATTATTTCTTCGTGATATACGAATTCCCTATTGCGTAGCGAATCGGCCATTCTCCGTTGTTTGAATATTTACTTATGATGCACACAAATTGCAATTATTCTCGGTTGATGTGTAGCTTTTCAAAGAGTAGAATATGTTCAGAAGGCTTAATCATATTTTCTCTCTGATCGTATTTCCAGTAAATTGTTTTACTTAATCCGATGGTGAAACGTTCAAAAGGTACATCACAAGCCTCTGTTAATGCATATATATATATATACTTTTGTCAAATAAATCAGCTTATCCGTTACATTGCTTTCTATTTTATCACTTTTTGCAGGGATATCTCATAAAACTTTTCTCTCTCACATAAACAAATATATTTATTTGCACAGCTTTCTCAGGCCTAAAGAGTTACGGACTCAGTTCCATTTTGCCGGGTAGCCAACCAACTACTGTAGCTGTTGCTGGGAGAACTGATCTTTCCCCGAGCCATCTGGATTCCACACCTTCACAATCCAGTTCATCGGCCTACGATAACGCTTGGATCTCGGCCAGCTTGCTGTCGTCATCCGCATCATCTCCCACGGCATTCTACACCGGTGATTGTGGAGTAATCACGATGGGCTTGAAGCATCCGCTAATCCCCAACGACACGGGTGCTGGTGCAAACGGATTTATCAGTGATCACTGTCCTATTTGGTTTGATCTTATGATCCCATGAATCGACTTTCCGAAGGCCTAAACAGAATCTTGTTTTTTGTTTATTTTCTGTATTTTATAAATTTGAAAAAGGATAACTCAATCAAAACACTGTCAATTCTAATCTTCCAAACCAACACCAAAGAATTTGTCACATTCGAACCAGTTGACACTATCTTTTCCGGTATGCTTCTTCTTTTTTATTTCCGTAACCTTTGATCCGCTTTTACACGGCGTTTTCCTTATATTTGATGTCTGAAATGAGAAAGGGTGAAATATTGCTCAATTTTACCTTCATCTATTTTGTACAGTTTTATACAGCTAAAAGCAATCACATGACATATCAATCCTTCTCTTTTGAGCTCTATTATATGATAATCCTTTGTTTGCGCTTCTGAATAATCGAAATCAATTCAGCACACCATTGCGACCCTCTTCCCATATTTACTATTTCGAATTCATTGCTTTTGGTCCGTTTCCAAAAGAAGATCATTGATAATTGCTTACTTATTCTTTTAGACCGACTATTAACTCAGGGTTCATGCTCTGCATACTATCGTAAGCCATTCACCAGTCATTTCAATATGGAGGCGCCTGTGACTTAAATGCATGTATATTATGTGGGGATATGACCTGTTGTCATCTGACAACACGGTTCAACATACCATTTTTCATAATCCAGTGCACTTAACTGTTTTTCAACCACAAGGTGACAGGTATTTTCATAACAAATACACCTAGAAGTATTTTACTGAAAGCTATTCTTTTTGAGAAACTGTACACTGCGTTCTAATAATTTTCATAATCTTAAGGTATTACTTGTGCTGAAAGTTACTCCAACGTCACTGATTCTTTGTGTTCTCTAGTCCACTATTCAATATTTTGGTGACTAAGATATCATCGATATGCTTTTACTCCAAAACCGTTGTTCAAACAAGATCGCTATTGTCTCTAGACAAGCAACACAGATCCTTAAGAAAGGGACAACAAAGCAGAAGAGATACTAGTTTTTCATAGAACATGGATACACAATTCCAGCTCAGAATTGGGAGCAACTACCAAATACATGTAATGGGATTTTACCGCTTTCCACTTCGATCAGAGTTAATCTCGACATTAGCATAAGTCCAAAGCTGAAGTTCGGTTTTCCCCTATGGGGTTTCGGATCATCAATATCCTACTGAATTTTAAAGACAGTTGCACCGCAGTTCACTAATGTCATCTGAATTTCAGCAATTCAGTTTTCACAACCATTAACCACGCATCTTTGTGCGGCGGTTTTGTTTGCTGTCTTTAGACTGCCTATATGGAATGAAAGAGCAGAAGGAAGATTGGAATTTTGCGATCAGATCCAAGAAGAAGATGGTGAATTCATGTAAACTAAGGTTGCAAGGATTATGAGTAAATGCACGAACGATATTCAGTGTCTCTAACCACCGGTTACGATGATCCCGAGATCCCTATCTAGGCACTTGACCTGTATGGCCGAGTCTCCCGGTTAGGATTTTCATACCCTCGCGCCAGGTCTTATTTTGTTTGTCCTTGACTCTTTCTATCCATTTAACGGTTGTGTGTAGTTACTAAAGTTGATCTTGTCAATAAGGAAATCTTTATGAAGTTCAGTTTTCCGTAGGTCATTTCTATTTTCTGTGAAGGACCACAATGAAACCTCCCAGAAGAGATACTTTCGTAGACCTCAAACAGGAGTATCCTAAATGAATCTGGGATTGGAATGCACAACTATCAGGTTAATTGAGTTGTGTTGTACTACGCTGTTCTAATTATTTGTGGATTAGATTCAGCCACGTAATTTAGTTTACGTTTACCTTCTTCGGACAAAAGTGCAATTTCATTTGACTAGTCTTCTGTCTCATAGTAGCCTCTTTTTGCCTTGCTGTGATGAATAACATGAAAGCATACAACTGTAACGTTTTATGATTCGAATTAATTATAGGGATGATCTCGGAAACTCATCTAAATATTTTTGTTCACTGCTGTCATTCACGTGCCAAGCCATCATTTGACCGGTCATCGTTTTCACCGATATGATGCTCACCATAAATCCCTTATCTAGCGCTCGAAAATCGCCGTTAATCTAACAATACGACGCTCCCTGTATTTACTTGTGTTACATGGTATATTTCTCAACCAAAGGCCATCATTATGTGAAAATACGTTTACTTCTGGTTTCTTCAATAATATCAGTGCTTTAGCGCTAAATTTGAGTTGTAACATGCAACTCGGACCCATTGTCGAACCTGCTTCAATCGGTCACTCTTGGTTGGCTGAAAATCATATCTGTCGATAGATTTTATGGAAGAATATCGGCCGTTAACTTTGACAAACTGTTTTGACCACACATATATAGAAAAGGAATGTAGTGGATTTTTAAGTACTAGATTTCAATAAATTAGTTATCCACCACAGTCCCTTGTTTCAACTTATGCATCTGTGAACGAATTGATAAAGACGGGTTTCGGTTGCCGACTACCGTGTCTCGATCATTCATCCATCCACTGTTTGATTTTACCGGCCACCCGCTTTCGTGTGTGACTAAAAGAAACTTCTCCGTTTAATAATGGTCGTACCCTGCAAACCGCCCAACAGTCGGGCCGAACCAAGTTGAGGGTGACCGCGACTGGAAAACCTGACAATATCCCACCCACGGGTAGGTCTTGAACTGTTTTCATTCGTTATGAAGATTGTTGACACCCGGTCTGAATTCGGACAAGTACGCCGCATATGAGGAAGTATTGGTGAAAAATGATTCCCACGTTACCCTGTTGGCTTACTATTTGCACTTTTAAAATCTTAGAGGAACATCTACAAGTAATAGCATTGATTGGTGCTCTGAGGACCCAATTTCACTTCGCATCTCTGTGAAGGTGTGTTGGATGTTTAAAAAATGGCAGACGGAATAATTAGTCAGAACTACTGCTGAGGTGAGGAAACACTCTGAATCAGCTTTTGTGCACAGAGTGATTGCTCGTTTATCACTACGAGCAAGGTCACCAACTTATTGCCCCGGAGGACGTGTGTTAAAATCCCACCATTACCGCCCAACTTTTTCCTTCTGTGTCCCCACGCAGCATCCTAATGGCTGCAGCCTAAGCCCTTACTGAAACTTTTACGTTTATATATTCGATAACAGAAAGTTATAAGAGTATTATAATTATTATCCACGATAACAGCTCAGGCAACTAAAAGGATCTTGACTTCATACATNGGGTTCTCAGTGAAACATTTCTCATCATTATTCACAAGTCACCACCTGGTGTACAACAAAACGAATCCAAGCCGTTTGCTTGCCTTAAAAGTAGTTTTACTTGTATGTTATCTCCACTCCCCCTTTTATTACGGAACATGTAATGCACCGTCACACTTTGATGTCTTTTACCGACTACCGTAATACATATGCATCATCCATGAGTATTTCTATAGGAAGCAGTTTCATACTTTGGCAGGAGATAATTATGCTAAAATTATTAGGTTTCTTTGAAACCGGATAGACTCATCTTTTTAGGTCAATCGCGATATATATTATATTTCCACACACGTCTGAATCCAGACTGTTTGCCATACAAATCATGGTACAATGATCTTTATGGAAAAGACAGACGTTCCATGATGTGCATGTGGGCGGTATACTGCCACATTACCCAGGCCAAGGCGATAGATTTGTATTATTTTACTGTGCTTCACCACTTAGTCACTAACCTCCATGTTTCAAGGTTTAGCTTAAGCTTATTAATTCATTGTGGTTTCTAATCTGAAAATCCATCTACAATCTTGTTATCGCACCTTTCTACACTGAATTTTCATACGCAATTTGACTCACTCGTTCGGGTGAAGATAGGGGTCGCGCAGTTGACTTCGGTGTATCAAGGTACCCAGGTGTATCATTTTCTCTGTTGCTTACGTCGTTATCTTCATCCGATTTCGTTGGTGTCAACAGTAAGCTACTCTCCACCATAGATTCATCAGACTGTGTTGCGAAAAAAACTCGCCGGCGCTTACTAGCAGACCCTGGTTGTCTCAGTATGCTTCGAGGTGTCTTTTGTGGAGTTTTCATGATTGCCTGAAAAATAGGAATAACTCAATGAAAATGATGCAGCTCACCATTGAGTGCAGTCGAACTGACAAAGCCGGGGATTTTGGTGTTTGAGTTACCGAAATTCCAATACTCTCGGGCAATTGGGAACTAGCTGGCGGAGAATTGGTGTAGATTTGATGCTGTAACTCTTTGAACTCTTTCTCGGTTTTCCGTAGCTGTTCCAGTTCCATTTCATTATTCTTCATTTTTTTCTGCTGCTCGCTAATTACCTTCTCCAGTTCTTCCAACCGTTGCAACAAGGCATCCCTTGCTTTTGTTTGTTGTTCACTCACCTCGATCTTCATTCATATTATCATGGAGCCAATGCAACTTACTTTTTGCATCAATTCCTTTTCTAGATTTGTAAGTTTCCGCTCTGTCGCCGTCAGAGTTTTGGTCATTTCTTTCTACGTTCGATTGGTGATAAAAATCTTGGTTTGAGAATTATTAGTGTGTTTTACAAAATTATTCGTACTACATAATCTAACATTCATTGTCAAGTGAGGAAATACCTCTTGTAAGATGTACACTGATAAATGGTTGTTTACAACTAATTCACCTGCGACTACTCATCATCTTGTACCATATAAATTTTAATGAACTTTCCATCATTATCTCATTCGAGTTGAGCTTCCAAACGCCTTCACATTAAACCGCTTCAAGCCAAGAGTAAATATTGATTAGGAGCTAACCAGTGTACTTCAATCACACGGCATAGTCTATTTTAGATGCGCCATCAATAAGTTCCATCCATTCTTCGGTACGCTGTTCTATGGATTTCGTTTGTAATCTCGACATTTTAAATCCCTGACTGAGCATGCATTTTTTTCTTTAATTTAGTAAACATGTGTAAGTTAGACGACATGTCTAGTTTTCGCTCTTCAGGATATAAAATCCGGTCTTTTGACCTAGAAAACAAGCGCTGTTATCATATGTCTGGTCAGATAGTGGAGCTTTTCGGTTGGTAGTGATGAATGCACGATCACCACGCGTTTGAACTGTCTCACCTGCTATCATGTGACCATGTTAAGACATTTGTGGCCTCGAAATGGTGTGTTTACTTGAATGGATTGCAATGATCAATACGGTTTCATGATTTGTTGACACTTTTAGACAGTGGGGCTCACAAAACGCTCATTCACACTTCAGTGTGTGACATTCATTCGATGCCGGATGTACTGTGCTGTGCGGATTGTGGGCAGGTGTTTGAGTTGAATCGCATTACTGCTTTTGTGGAACATAAAGTGAAAGGTTGTTATAAACGCCCTTCCTCCTTGAATTCACTAATCCAATGTGCTTATTGCAACTTCATCTTTATGCTCCCCCTTGATCTTATTGCACATGTTCAATCTGTTCACAATGTTCCTGTAATAAAAATGCATGAAAATGAAGCAGACAGTGATACTTTAACAAAGCCGCAGTGTTGCAATACTGTTGATGAAGCATACTCCAGTGCGACTTCAAATGGGAGTACCGCCAACATTAATGATGCGTACGAGGCGTGTCACCCCATGAGCGCCTCCGTAGATCGTACTCCTGACAATTATGGATCGATTGAAACAAATGAGGTCAACTGCGAAGAAAATCAGTCCTCAATCGGTCGCATTCGGAAGACGTGTTGCCTGGTTGATGGAGGCTCTCCATGCGAGCAGATAACCTCTTGTCCTATACTTGCCTCCTACACATCTGGTCCCGGTTCATGCCCGATGTCGACGGATTTCAGTAATGATAAAATCAACAGTTCAGTCAGCAGAAGCGTGACAAATTACCATGGTCACAGCTCTCCTGATTCTACGGAATGTGTTCATCAGTCTACATCTAATGGTTCATCAGAGCGAAAGGAGTTTCATGAGCCCGATGGACAATTATCCCGTTCAGACGCACCATTCACTTGTGAATATTGCTCTAGTTCCTTCAAGCAGAAAATACATTTAAAAAAACATCTCATGTCAACGCATCTACGGCAAAAACCTTTCAAATGTAACACATGTGGCTACGCGACAGTGGAACGAAGCCACTTGAAGATTCATGTCAGAAGACATACAGGCGAGCGGCCGTTCGCGTGCATGTTGTGCAGTTACAGAGCAGCTCAAAACGTTACCTTAAAAAGGCACTGTCTGAAAAAACACCAAAGCACATTTATTGGTTGTTCCTCCTGTGGGACGCAATGTGTCACATTAACGGAACTAGAAAATCATAAAAAGCTGTGTGTTATTCCACGGAGGAGCACAGTTTAATCAGTAGATTGTTCAAACTCTTGTATTCGTACAAAAAACCAACGGTATATTTTGGTATTTCTTCCAGTACAGTTGTATACACCCAGGGGATTGTCATGGTTCCTACTTCGCTTACATACGGATACAACTTTCTTGTTGAGATTTGATTTAGCTTCTCTGATATCCCCTGATCATTTGGGGCAATCTAGCACATTTTATCATTATGAATGCATAAAGCAGTAACCGTCCATTCCGTTTAATAATTTAACCCTATTAGTCCCAATTCCTAGACATGCTTAAATTTGATTTATGAACTTGAAATTAAACTTCACAGTCATATCCAATCAGTCCTCTCGACTGAGGTGGTTTCCCGGACAGATGTTATTTATGATGACCCGGATTTGTAATCGAGAAGGAAAAGCTTGGATCTATACATGCGATCGGAGGAGGATTTAGTAACGACGATACACCAGAAAAGCTCCGGTTCAGTTAATAAATACGTCCTTATACTGTTGATTGTATTGGACTTATTATGGTCTACGTGCAATTAGATTGTGACGCATATGTGGTAGGTGCTAAAATAAACATCGCAAATGGTATACGATATTTGGTTTGCTGATCGCAAAAATGCGATAAGTACCTTCTTAAGTATTTGTACTGATATAGCCGCTGATGACAACTTTATCTTCCATGATTAAATGATTTTTTTCATCTTATCTTGCTTTTTGGTGCTAGTTATAATCATAAATTATCAGTTGTTTTAATTTTAAACTGTTTAGAATTATGATTTATGTTTTAGGAACAACTGGGTTACAACAGCATGCAGAATACATTTGAAGTTGTTTTTTATCAGCGTAGTTTCATTTCCTGGAGTGACGTTTTTTCCGTTCCGTATTCATCAATAAAATTCACCGGAAAGCTGTTTTGATGATGAAAAGCCAAACAGTTAACCGTTAAATGACTGTTCGTGATAACTAGGTTCGTTGATTATTTTATGCAGTTTGCCAATGTTTGAACCGGCAGTTGACTTACTTTTTCCGCTGTCAGTCCCCTGATTTGTTCTTTTAGCTTTTCCAATTGGGAAGCAGCATCATTGGCCTTCTTTTCCTGTTGTTTCTTCGAATGAATGTTTGAAGAAGACTTACCAATTTCTTTCTTTCATTTACATTTTCTCCCCTCCTGGAGTCCAGCTCCATGCGGAGAGCTTTTATTTCTTTCTCTTTCTCTCCGATGGCGTTCTCCATACTCTTGGCATTCATTTTGGCAATTTTTTCTTGTCGTAATTCATAATCTCTGGTCATTTCCACTTTCTCGCATTCTTTTTTCTTTATTTGCTCTTGTAGGCTCTTTTCCTTCTGTTTGTGCGCCGCCAATTCTTGTCGAGAATATTCCAATTGCATAGTAAGATCACTGACGACCTGGTTTAGCTGGGCTATCTTTAGTGATCCAGTTTCGATTGCTGCATCGCAGCTTTCTGCTTTCGAATTCAGTCGACTAATTTCTTGTAGTGATTTCTTAAAATGTAATGAAGAAAACATCGTTATAGCACCACAAATTAGGGGCATTTGAATGTGTACTGACTGTTCAATTTTTTCCGTAAATGGAAACAAATACAATCTTCTAACTATTGCACGCAGTTAAACGTGAAAAATAAAGGAGGTTTTCTCGTCAGTCTCAAGTACGCTGTTCGTTTTGTACGCATTGTACCTCACAGCGAAGTCAGACTACTATTTCTCCCATCTTCAGGTTTATCGCGTATTTTGGTTTCAGTTAAATATAAAGTCTAACCGTGTTTAAACAAATATGCATCATAAGTGATTAACCTACATTCAAATTAGTTTTTATTCGATTTTCTGAACGTGTTTCTATTTATATAGTTACTTGAGCACTATCCTTATGAAGTTCCCTTGTGACAGTTAACCAATAGTTAACTGTATCCTGGTTAAGCAGTATAATATGTCCTTCGTAGTATCCATGAAAAGCGGTTTAGTTTGCTTGAATCTTCGACCATCCTTGATAGGTGAGGGTAGGATTGATTAGCTATCCTGCAAACTTATCAGTTCATCTCAGAAGGACTGTTACTTGCAGAAAACACAGATGCGACTGAGAACAGTATCGTTGGCCTCATTGTGTTGGCTCAACTAGAAAAATAAAGCTTTTTTCTTAATTAGATGGATCAGTCTCAATAGTAATATTGTCAAACCTGTGAACTCGTTCGTTGAAAATATAATAAGTTTTAAATTCTATTTTTATCCTTTTTGTGACTAACATTTCTCGTCGCTCAATCTGTTCGATGATTAAATGACCTTTCTGTATCACAGACGTTATGTGCTGAACGAAACTTGTCAAATAATCAAGTGTATGTCTTTTATGCTCGATCATTTCACTAAGCCTGTCCAACCACCAATAATCCATTTCCAAAGCTCTTAAACAGGAAGCGTGTGACGATCCCATTTGTCAATCTAACTTTTTTACCTCAACCAACAAGCATTGCACGATAAACCTGTCTATTCGAAATTATTTTTACCAGACACACAAAAGCCGTCGCAGTCTACAATTAAAGCACTCGCAATACGGTGAACGCAACTATTTTATGTGGTAATAAACGGTGGTTTGTAAATAAATTTCGCCAAGTAATTTAACGTCAAACTATGATGGCACTATTTATTACAATGCGATACTTCATTGTGTTGAAGGTCTGATACATCATTGTATCATATATTTTTGTGCTTTTGTCGAGTTTATTTTCCCACCGATGCGAACACCCATTGGCCTGGTGAGCGATGTGTTGCACGATTTCTACATTCATTCGTACATTCTTCGAATTTCAGCTGTCACAATTTTAGAGAGCGCTTCGGCTGGTATACTCCGGATCTTCTAACCAGAATGCCGATATCCGTCTGAGATATTGAATTCCAGAAGAATCGGCAGTTTTAGTGGAACTGAAGCGTGAGATTCCAATGAACCATCATCAGAACACCAAAAAATGTTGTTAGAAAACTCAATTTTCGAAAACTCTAAGAGAGGCTTCGAAAACTGACGGGCGAAAACATCTGATGAAATTAAAGTATTTGCCGCTTCGGATAATGATCAAAGACTGTTTCAATTGATTTGTGACACTAATATTTGGTAGAGAGGAAGAGATGCAAAAATCCACACACCTTCCATCTTGTGGTCACCAACTTAAGTAGCCATCGAGGTGCAACTGGTAACTTGAACGTTTGACCCCATCCACAGAGCGTGTGATCTCATGAACTGGACACCTACCTCCAATGTTTTGCGGTTCTTGTACATTGTCACACTCCCCTTTGGTTCATCGATGGCCCCGTTTATGAATTCCCCAAGAAAATTAACCTGCGTTGACCTGGGCAACCTTATAGTATTCTGCTTATTAGCAAATCATTGACTTTATCTTGATTTGCTTGGCACAAAATCAGAACTCAGGCGCGTGCTATAATAACTTATTCCCCTTATATAAAGGACCTAAACCCTAAGCATTCGGAAAATGTTTAGCGGTATTTTCGGGTGCGGGATATTTTCATTGGTAAACAATTTTAGTGTGAATTGATGAGGTTCAGTATTGGGGTATCATACGGGCGAGCAATATTCGTTGCGCGCAGAAAACAGCCTGTTTAACATCCTTTCAGAATAGTAAGCTGGGCCATTATGGTTCATATCAGATCATGATTTTGCATTTCATGGTTTATAGTGTTTTTCCATGTTTGAGTAGTGTTCCCGTGCAAATTGAAAATTGATTTTCCTAGTATTAACTGTCGCAAGTCACACCGCAATATCACTGAATATTTTATTGGTTATTCTAAAGGAGCAGCATATCATAACATGTTTCAATTTGCCGATGAAGTATACTGATATTTCTGAGCACCATGCTTGCATGCGCACTCTGTCTTCTTTGCATGTTTCATGATTTCCGGATTCACTACGTAAATCCGTTTCAGTTCCAAACGTAAGATGAATATTTGTTGACATGGATAGGGTTCTATAAAAACTTTGGTCTAACTTAAAGTTTTATAGATTTTCATTAGTTAGGATTTTTTTCTTTTGAATTTCGGTTGACTGGATGGTTTTCTTTGCTTAAATACCGTGTGCATTCATATAATCGTGTCGATCAGTGAATATAAATATGATTCTAAAGAAACTTTTCAATAAGCGACAAAAATTAGAAACCATAGACATGAGCCTCCGGGGTTATGGTTCTATATCCTTGAAAATCCTTCTAAGTTGGTTTTATTTATTCCATGGTTTTTATCTTCAACTGTTGAAACCACAATAATTTTGAACCTCAAAATTTTGTTGTGCTCCACAATCCGCTGTATTAGGCCATTTCAGCTAAGGAATAAGAATATTCACCATGCACTTACATTTAGCGTGTACAGCTCAGGTTGGACTAAACGGATGCGTTTTCATGACCGTTGCTACTTTTATTCATTTTGGTTTGGAATATCTATTTGCGCCTGGCTTACGAAAAGCACGGTGCCAACGTGACAACAATAATAACGCAAAGAGGGAAAGCTGGCTACCGCAAAGAATTAATTGGGGGGGGACAAAGGAGAACAAAAATAATAAGAAGTTAACTGCTTTTTTGTTTATTTCACCGCATACTTTTTCATTTTGATGTATCGTTGCAAATTCGTAGAACTTTTTGCCATTTTAGACCTTATTTTGTCTACTTCATCGATTCAGATGGGTTATTATTCTTCGACTTCCGTGTATCCTAAATAAAACAACTGGGCTTTATTGACTGACAGTTAGTATTTGTTAAGTAAACTAAGTAGTTATTACAACAAAAACTGGTTTCGATTTTATTAACTGGTGTATAATAATCCAATGTGAGAGCATAATGATGGTACCACATAAATTTCAATGTTTGTAGGTCTATTCTTCCATATCACAAGATGGTTTCTGCTTCCTCCGTTTTTTACTCTGACCGTAATACCTCTTAGGAGCACAAAGAACTTAACCGAAGCATACATAGTTGTCTCGTTTATGAGGTTGGATTCCAGCCATCCTTCCTCCCCCCCCCCCCCCCCCCCATGAACGTATGCATATTTTCCATGCCGGTGATTTGAAGGTTTACTTAAGGCATAAAATTAAAAATAACTGGTAAAATAAAACTAAAGTCTTTTGGTAGTTCACCACTTCCAAAATGTAGTGTAAAGAGCATATCCCCTTTCCGTTGGAATAATCTTTCTGGAACCTGTGATATGATTACAAGTCCAAGGAATAACAACAACACTATTTTTTAAAGCTACAGAATTAGTTGTTAAAAATTGAAGACATTAATAATCAATACACGAATCGAAAACTAATGGTAATAAAATTGTTATCGAAATCAACCCTTTTTCAGTTTACACCCAGTGATGCTTTGTGTTATTTTGAAAAATAAGGGTTTAACGTTTGATCCCTATTTTTAGCCACTTACCTCGTATTCCAATTTTAGTGCAGCCAGTTTTCCCTCTGTCTCACGCAGATCGCTTTTGCTCTTTTCTAAATACTTGTCAAACTGGTCTCTTTCACCTGAAAGTTTTTCATTAGCCAACCTAATAATGATGGAAATGAAGTTCAGTGCACTTACCTGAGGTTATCAATACCCTGCTTCATTTTTGATTCACTTTTTTTCAAGGATGCCACCTGATCCAATAGCTCATTTCGTTCCTTCTGAAATTTCATTAGTGCATTATACCTTGCATTACCTTCAAATCTTCATTGCTAGTCTCATATTCTAAATATTTATTTTTTTCGGTGGCCAACTGATTCTCCAGTTTATTCAATTTGGATAATTTGAATTCATGTTCAATCTTTTTGATGCTTCTACTTAGATTTGTACTTACCTTTAGCTCTTTATTTGCAGTTTCTAGCTTTTGATTTTCACATTTTATGTTTCTCAATGATTGACTGATTTTCGTTATTTCTTCTTTCAGTGTTTCAATTTCTTTTGCTTGTGCCAACTAACGGCAAAGGTAGGGTCTATTATGATTATATATTTACCATGTTCTGTTCACTGACTTTCGATATTTCTTTTTGCAACAAAAGTTCATCTATTTAGTTATTTTTATAAAAACAAATCTCCGGGCTACCTTGCAAGCCTTGTATATTAACTATCTTCTCTTCAGCACTTTTGCATGTAGAAATCTTATTGCATAGAACTATTACTTACATCGCTTTGATCAACGTTTTTAATTCCAGGATTTTCAGCTTAGCTTTTTCCAAGTTTTCCTGAATCTTAGTATTAGTTAATTCGGTTTGATTTCGGAGGCATTCTAATTCTTTTGTCACTGTAGACATATGCTCCGATAGTGTTATTCTGTGTGAAATTTCTAATTTCAAGTTCTTCTTTTGCTCTATAGTTTCATCTTCAAGACGAGTGATGTTTTCTTTTAATTCCTTTGTTAGGCATTCCATATATTGTTTGTCGTTTTCAAGTGTTTGGTTTTTTTCTTTTTCATTACAAATTTCCTTTCTTGTCTCTCTAAGCACATACTAAGAAAGCATTGATTTGATTCAAAACGCATTACCTCCAAGTCGTTTATTTTGTTTTTCTGTTGTTCAATCAATGAACCCATTTCATTGACTTCTCTTTTGGCACCCTCTAGGGCGATAGCGGACTCAACTGTGATTGATTTTTCTATTCGAATGGTTTAATTCAGTCTACCTTGTAAGGTGCCAATTCTGTCGATTTCCGAAGATAAACGAATGAATTCGTTCTGGAACTGTTCCCTTGTTGCCGCCAGTTCGTCCAGCTGCCATTAAATCAAATTTATCAAGCTCTTACCAACTGAGAAATTCTTTCCCGGTGTTCACCAATATTTTTTGTCAATATTTCGTTTTCTTTTTGCATCGCATCAACTACGGATAGCTTCAGTGTACAAGATGAGATTACTTTGCTGATCTTTTGCAGAAACGACGTTTGTAATTTCCGTTTGGTATTTTTCTATATCTTGCACCATGGTTTCATAAAACTTCTTCATTTCCGCAGTAAACGAGGATATGCTCTTATATTTTTTTATCACTATCGAACATATCAAACTAGATCTTTACCTACCCATACCCGCCAGATTTTCGATTTCGTTAACTCTCATTGATATGCTTTGGCTGTCACTTTTGATTTTGGACATTCTGTAATGTTTTTTTTTACAAGAGAAACGTACTCTTCCGATGCTTTCTGCCGGTTTTGAACTTCGCTTTTATACTTTAAACTGATGCTTTCTAGCGACATCTGTTCAGGTTTTCGAAACGTTATCAAATGATGTATCATACCTGGAGCTCCAAGTTAGACTTTCTTAGACTGTCAATAGTATTCTGAGCTTTTTGAAGTTCAGCACTCTTTGCCATTGCTAATTATATTTCAAAATGTCAAACCTTATTGTCTAGCTGAAGTTCTATCTCAGAATTTAATCTCTTCATCTTGCTTGCTTCCTCTTTTAGAAGCTGATATAACAGAGTTAATCTTTTTATAAGATAATAAAACAGAAGTTTACACCTGTTGGATGGCTCCATTGTTTCCTTGGTTCCGTCTTTGGTGATTTCTGTGAAGTCACATTTGACATCTAAATGCGTTTGATCCTCGTAATCCAAATTCGATTGCGAAGCATCATTGTAACACCCGGTGGAAGAAACGTCGTACTTATTGCTTGATTCGACTAAACTTATGGGACTCGCCATAACCCTGGTATCGGGAGAGTTCTGTTTGTCTTCTACGGATTTTCTCTTCAGAAAATTCAGCATCGGCGACGCTTGTGTATCGCATGGTTTACATCTAGATGGAGGAGGAGACATATCCCCTCCAGATATAAGCAACCCATTCAAACATTCCTGAAACATCGATTCATTATGGTTTGAAAAATAATCCTACCACATTCGTAGAACTTTGTTTCAATTTTCTCTCGGTAGAAACGAATGGAAGACGTTCAGTCCCGTGATCGTTTTTCTCATTTTTTTGGGTGATAGCAGGGATAGGACTTTTATTTAGATCTTTTCTTCTATCAACATCGAAGGTTTCCTCCCCGAAGTAGTCGTCTTCGTCCATGTCACAACTAGTGCTGTTTTCGGAGTCATCCAGACCACCCCAAAGTAACGGTCTCCCTGGAGGTAGACGTATATTCTCTGCACTTCGGATTTCATTTTGATCCATACAATCGGTGTCTTTTTTAAAATGCTTGAAAAAACTGGTCTTCATGAACATTTTGATACGCAGTCGAAGTTGTCTCGTAATGTTATTTCGTGTACGCAGTGCATTTAAATGGTGATTTAAAACAACGTTCGGGTAGGTTCATAGGACGTAGCGGCGGCGTGCCAATTTGTCCAGCTTCTTGCACTGATGGGCTCTGTGGATCCACCGGTGCTGCGACAACAGGAAGAGGAGAACTCTTCTTCAATTAAACGACCAGGAGAGACCCCCGTTCGCAGCGCTCCAGTCCGAGGGGGTTGTCAAGAGTGTTGTTGCGGCCTGAAGACTCAAGGGAGGACAAGAGCATCCACGGTGACTAAGAGATTGATGTAAATAATGAGAAGTGTCTAGCAGAGGTAAAGGAGAAGTAGAGGTTACGCGGAGAGCTATGGAGGTGGGGATGAGAGGAGAGGAAGATATGAATGATGAAAGTTAATAACAAATGGAAAGCGGTCCCGAGTTAGCTGTGTCTACTCTTCAACTCAGCCCCGGCCCTCCATCAAGCACCCTCGTCCATACCATGTCCAATCTGCGCTTGAAATCTACCGTCGAGTTGACAGTAATGACTTCATCCAGCAGTCTATTCCAGTCATTCACAACTCTCGTTGTGAATGAGGACGCTCTTAGACGAGTCCTCACTCTATCTTTCACCAGCTTTAGAGCGTGCCCTCTCAGGTTCGTTGTTGCACTGAGTTTGAGCAGCGCTCCAACTGGTACGTCCACAAACCCTTTAAGGATGTTGTACGCTTCAATTAAGTCTCCGCGTCGCCTCCGCCTGCTCAACGAGAAAAGTTTAGGGCTCCCAGACGATGCTCGTAAGATAGGTGTCTCTAACCCGCAAACCACTTGGTGAAGCGACGCTGCACTGTCTCTAGCGTATTCATGTCCTTAATCAGAAACGGGCTCCAT